TAAAATATAAAAAAATTAGTTTTTTTTTTTTTTATTTTATGGACCACAAATAAACTTCCAAAGTTAGATATTCCAGAAAAGGTTGTTTAGTCTAACAATTTTTTCTAGATACACTTATCATGTGTTATACTCAAGAAGTGATTTCGAGTTTAATAGCTTCATATGTTATGTAGTCGCAGCAGGTCATAAAATGTATTTTTCTTGAAAAATACTCTAGTAAAATTTAAATTCTTGAAAATTAATAAAATTTTCAATGCACAATAAAAGATTTGAAAAATAAAATTTTATTTTTATTTTCCTGTAGGTACTTGACTCTTGACTATTTAACGACTTTTATCTTTAAATCATTGTTCAAGGAAAACCTATAAAATTTAATTGATACTTTTGTTAAATTGCCCTGTACTTTTTTAATTATCAACATCTTTCAAGAAATAAGCTCATCCCGATGTTACTCTCTTCAAGAGCTTTCATTTGAGTACCCACATGCATTTTTTATATATTTTTCATATATACATATATATAATATATATAAATATATGAAAAATTGATATGGGTACTCAAATGAAAGCTCTTGAAGAGTGTAACATCGGGATGAGCTTATATCTTTAAAAAAATGTCAATAGTCTACAATTTTGATATATTTTTCTTATATACATATATATATTTTTAAGATATAAGCTCATTTTTATGTTACACTCATCAAGACCTTTCATTTGAGTACCCACTCGCATTTTTGATATATTTTTCATATATACATATATATAATATATATATATATATATATATATATATATATATATAAATATATAAAATATATGAAAAATTGATGTGGGTATTCAAATGAAAGGTCTCGACGAGTGTAACATCGGGATGAGCTTATATTTTTAAAAATGTCAATTGTTCACAAGATACAAGGTCATTTCTTAAATATGTATCTAGAGATAATTTTCGAATAATATAGTACTAAAAAAAAAATCCATTGTTTTCGGCCCACCCTAATAATTATATACATTTTCGCAATAACTTATTCCGCCTGATAAAAAAATTCCCATCGCTTCTATAATTCAAAGGACCCTCAATTGTCCGGTAAAAAATTTCACACACCACTCAAAACATCAATAAAAAAAAATTAAATATTTTTTTTTTCTGTATATTAAACCACAAGAGACTTGAATTCCTATAAAAAAGACAGTTTATCACCTAAATAACAGGAATAATAACAACAACAACAACAATAATGTCGTGTTGTCGTCGTGGAGATAATAGAAGAAGTGAAATTAGGGAAGGTATCACAACTATAGTATATATACACTATATGAAATTTCTACATATGACATAAATATATAGTTGTGTACACTTTCGCGAACAAAAAGACGACAAAGAAGGAGAAAGTTGTCAGATGAGGATCAGAGTGGAGGATATAGGAGCATATTATACATAGAGAGAATGAGGGATGGGATAGGAGTAAAGATGAGCAGAAGCAGATGCAGCTAAGCGTGAGCTGGCTGCCGTATGTCACACGCCTCATGTACTATGCAGATGAGCAATACATTATACACCTAATGTAATGCACGGTAAATACCACAAACCATAACTGCATATATATGCACACCGTACACCATATATGCACACCATACATACAAGATGTAGTCTACTCACACATCACCGGGTGTGTAAACATACTAGTGTATATTAAATTATTTATGTACGCTCCGATAATCAATAGTTATTATTACCGTGACTAATTAATGTTGTGGTTATTGTCCGGTAATTAATTTGAATAAATAGAGTGATTATTATGATTTATTCAGTATGAATTATTTTAGGAAAAGGGATAATTGATTCTGTTTTTTAAATAATTACTAGAGAAAAATTAGTGAAAAATATTATTGGGTAATAATTATTTTATTGCAACGGAAAAAAAATTTTTTTGATACATTAAGAAGATCCAAGGGACGCTTTTTGACCAAGTAATTAATTAATAAAGATATAAAAATAATTCTAAGTGTTTTTATATTATTACGGTTATAATTATAAACGTTGTTGTTGTTATTGTTATTAAAATGAATAATTTATATGAGAATTTAGAAGCTGTCATGCCAGAGCTCTATTGAATTTGAATAATTATTATTCATAAGACGTTTTGATGCTGTCAGATTGATCCTTATCGATACTTTCACTGGGCATGTGATGATGTTTCTAAATGTCACGGTTTTATTGGGCAAGTATGTAACATTCGTATAAATACATAGAAGGTTTAGATTTGATTCGATTGGATTTTAGATTTAAGATCGGAGTTTAAGGGAGAGGTAGTGGGAAGTTATGGAAATCATGACAAGTTCTGTTGATGAGTGATTATATAATTTTTTTTGTCAATGAGGTTTGACGGAGGATGCTGTGGCATTTACATATTTGGCTCGGAGGTAAGAAAATTAGGCGTATGGGCAATGACGCAGGAAAAAATGGATTAGGGTGCCTTAACGTAGGAAACAGGTGGGATATATTATATATTAGACGGACTATATTTTAATAAATATTTTTGTGTTATCGTGTTAAACAAAAAATTATTAGCTGACTGAAAGGTAGTTACGGACAATGTCTCGGATAGCTTAACTGTCCGAGCCCGAAGCTTGTAACCAAAAGATCCGGGTTCGATTCCCGGCCCGGGCTGTCTGAATTATTTTTTCGGTTGCCGAAAAATTCCCACTGAGTGGTCCCCCCTTTTCCTTTATCCTTTCTTCTCTCCTTTCCCAAAATTTTTCGTTCAATGACAAATTAGCTACCAAATGTATATCATTAACTCTCGAAGGATAATTGACGTTAGAGTAACTTAAAATGTAGAGCTAGACATACTGAGTTAAAGTTAATCAAGATGACTATTATGCCGATAATTAACTGAAAATAGTTTAAGTAACTATGTTATTAAGGTACAGTATAATAAATTATTTTAGGTATAAGAAGTTTAATTAAATAGTGGTGATGGTAACTAACTAGATTTTCCTAGTTCAGAGAACCAACATTTTTTTTCTCTCAGTAAATTTTCATGATAATCAATTAACAAAAGCCTGTTTAGAAAAGATGATTGAAAAAATTTTCCGGTCTCTTAAGTCCATACAATACTTTAATTACGATAAATCTAAGACCGAAAGCTTACTGTACAGAAATATCCAATACCAATAACACCTTCGTTACTAAAAACTTTTTTTTCCCCTTTTTTATCACAGCACGCTCATAAGTTAACATACAATAAATATTCTAATGAATTCTTTACATCTTGCATTAATACTGTCACTGTCAGAGCTTTAATGGATAAAGTTATTAAAAAATCTCATAGAAGTAACTATATTATTAAAGTACAATATTATGAATTAATTTAGGTAACTAACTAACTAAATCAATCCCAGATTTTTCTTCTTATATACCCAAAAGCACAATCAAATAGCTATCTTAAATTCGAAACATACCACAACTGTATATTCTTTCGACCATATTTTTTTTTATATAAACATATATACAATAAGTAGATTTCAAAGGCGACTTTTCAATAGTTGAGAAAATATTTGGCAGTTAAGAATCACAATATACACACGCGCATGTAGGTATGCACCTGGTAGGTCACCTCCCAATAGTAGTATAAATAGTACTATTTAAAATTTATTATATTTTCTATCCAAGAACTTTTCATGCTGTTTACCCCTCGTTCCTTTATTCAATCCAATTCAACGATCTCATACAATGCTTTTCTCAAATATAATGCCTTGTTGTGTACCCACAATGGTTTTGGTTGATACAGCAGCCAGCGCATCAATGAATAATTCTTATTTTAAGAGCTTGTGTCGGTAAAAGTTACCAATTGTCAACAAGCTTGCGCTTTTACCCAAGAGATGGCGTAACTTCCTTAACAGTCATAGTTTAAATTGCATAAAATGCAATACTTTTTTTTTTTTTAAATGGTTTTCATTGATTAAATAACTAGAAAACAAGTTAAATTAATCTCACTATAACTTAAAAGACTTAACTTATTGCCTTAACATTTAATCCGCTGGCTTTTAAACTTTCTAATGGTCTTACTATCGCAATTTTCAATTACGATTTAAACTGTTTGACCAAGTTGTAACTTGTTCGGGTCAAAACAAACTTGAAACTTGGACGAGAGTTAGTTTTCGCACCACAAAAGCGAGAATCCGTATAACTAAATCTTTGTGGAACCTGTGCGCTACTTGATCTATTGTCGCGCGGTATGTTAATTGATACCCATCACCTGTTAGTAATAGTATTACCAATTTGATATCTAGTGAATAAGGAGTGTGCTTTGGAGAATCCAAACGCCGGGTGCTATTTGTTGAGGTATTAATTTTCACAGTTGTTAAAATCAAATTATAAATACACTGAAAAAAAAATTTTTTTTTGACAAGAAATTTCACTTATTCCAACAAAATAATTTAATTTTTAATTCTTTTAAATCAATACAAAATAATTTTATCATTGTAGCTGTAACAAAAATATTTATCCAATTTAAAAAAAAAAAAAAAAAAACAAAAAAATTAAATTATAAATACCTAATTCAGAAATACTCACTGACACGGAATTATATACAAATTTATATCATAAAATAGAAGTCCAGAACCAAGTCTCAGTTGGGTGTCGACGGAGGTGGCATTAGTATATCATGTATATTCTTATGCTTTTATATATTACTGCAGTATCTTTGTGTCATTGTCCATTGCACTTTTGGACATTTTCCATAAAATTATTTTTCTATTTTATTTTTAGAAATATTCTAAACTGTCTTTCATTAAAAAAAAATAATTATAACTCTTGGTTTGATATTTTATTAAATTTGACGTTTCAATAATTAACAATTAATTAAATGACTAAATTATATTTTATTAATGAGACAAAGCACCGTAAAGTAACTAAAAGAGAAAAAAAAATTTTAAAACAAGCAGGCTAAATTTGTAAGCAGCCAGACCGAGTGAATTTAGTTTTTTTTTCCACGTTTAAGCCTTCTTCGTATGTTCGATCGACCGGAAACCAATTTCACGGACTGTCGAGAACCTTTAAAAATCAGAATATTTTTTTTTATTTAAAAAAAAAAAATCTTTTTTAAATTATTGTCATAAAATTTTTTTTTCTCTGGTATTGTTGCGTTCTAAAGAGTCAATTGGACTTGGCTATTTTTATTTGCTGAAATTAGCAGTTTTCTTTTGAGAAATATAAAGGACGCTCTATAACTACTGATCGTTTGTCAAATCGTAAAAAGATAATTGTGTGCTCTGCTTGTTTTAAAGTTTGTTAAGAAAAATATACCGGGAAGATTTATTGGATTATATGCTTTTTATTGTTTTTATTAATAGCTTTAATACTTTGAGGATTTAAAAAATAACTTTCATGAGAAAATACTCATGTAATTCAACAATTCTAAAATTTATACAAAACAAAGAGATTTTAATCTGTAAATCATCTATATTATTGAGAGAATAAGAAAAATTTTGTTTCTTAAGAAATTACCTAGTATCTTGTGAAATATTGACATTTTTAAAAATATAAGCTCATCCCGATGTTATACTCATCGAGACCTTTCATTTGAGTACCCACATCAATTTTTCATATATTTTATATATTTATATGTATTATATATATGTATGTATGAAAAATATATCAAAAATGCAAGTGGGTACTCAAATGAAAGCTCTCGATGAGTGTAACATCGAAATGAGTTTATATCTTGAAAAATGTCATTAATTATGAAATGACAATGTATCTTGTTAATTATTGACATTTTTATAGATATAAGCTCATCCCAATGTTACGCTCATCGAGACCTTTTATTTGAGTACCCACATCAATTTTTCAT